TATCCCCTGTGTGCCTTGTCGACTCAGTCATTATACGAAGTTATACGATTATTAAAACAAATTAAATATTGAAATTTGATGATCCATGTTGTAAATGTTATGTTATTTTGATTTAGAGCAATCTAATTAGAAAAAATTACGACATTCTAATTTAATGCAAATAATATTTTTAAAATTAACTTTTAATTTGAATTTATTTCATCTTAACTTAACTTCAATTAATTACTTTTTTATTCATGCAACTTTTAATTTAACTAAATTAAAAAATAAACAATTAATTCAAAGGATTCCTAGAATTACTCAACATTTGAAATATTTTAGGCTAGTGAGAATCTGCAGTAATTATTGCGCAGTATTTTCAAAAAAGAAAAATGAATATCAATAAACCATATATATCTTCGACGTTTCAATGACGTTTTAAAGATGGTCCCAAGTCTGGACTGAAACGTCTAAATATAGATAGTTTATACATACATACATAGTTTATTGATATTAAATTTCTTTTTTAAAAGTGCTGCGCAATAATTACCGCGCCGATTCCCACTAGTCTAAGATATTTCAACTGTTTGAGTAACTAAATTAATTTTACAAATTAACTTTAATTTAGTTAAAAAAAAAATTAACTTACCCAAACCTGATACATGCAGGATGAGTCACTTAAGACCGGTTATGTGAAAACAGTCATAATTTTGGAGATAGGAAGAAATGCTTGAAGTGGTTTATTGAAAGAACATCATGCAATGGTGAATATTTTTTTCCAAAAAGACGCTTAAGGAATTTGAAGGTTATCTGCATTAAAAAAAAATGAAACCATACATTGTTGGACACTTACGATTGTAGCCTTTTCCAAGACAATTTCAATGATCATGGATAATTAAGGTCACTCAAAGTCACGGACATGAAAAAAGTTAAGAAAGGATTTATGTGAAAAATTCCTTTCGTGAATGTTTCCGAAAGAGAATACATTTTGAATAGAAAATTCGAAAATCGTTGGATTGGACGAATGGATCAGAATCATAAATGGCCATGATAATCGTTAGATTTAACACTGTTAGATTTAACACTGTTTCCTTCTTACGAGAAAAATTGAAAGATGTGTATCATGACGCTAATCATGATCTTTAATGGTTATCTGACTGTGAAAGAAAACATGAGAGGAAGCATAAAATGAGCTTGTGCTGCAATCGACCAGAATATTATTTAACATATAATGCTATCTATGAGTGAACGTTTCAGACAATGTGGACAAACATCATTTTGAACATTTGTGGAAGATTGTTTCCATTGAATCTCAAATTAGTATTTATTTAATAACATTTCAGAGTTTGATCTAATTAATAAAACTGATTCTGTTTAGGAAATATTTACGAAAGAAATTTCTTTCCTTTTTTTTCATTGAAACATTCTTGCAAAAGAGCCACAATTATAAGTATCCATCAATACAAAGTTTCATTTCAAAACACGATATACATATCGTTCATTTGCATGACACAATTCAGAAAACAAAATTTTCTAAAAAATAAAATTTGAACGTTTCGAAATATTAATCTTAAAATGCAATTTTGGTGTAATTGATTATAGAGGAATAAAAGTACACCCTTTTATGCTTTTTCTTTTTTCCTTTATGTTTCTATTTCTTTACGCAATCAATTTAATAATTTTTTAGTTATGTTGCAACAAGTGAGTGATATATAACACAATATCAACATATCTGATAATTTAATATTTCAATTTAGCTAAATAATTACTTAATAACTGCGTATTAATTCTGTTTCTTTTACAACCACCTTCAGTAATGAAGAATTGCACACAGGTAATTTAGATAATAGGTAATTAGATAATCATAATTTAACTCAACTGTCGGTTTAAGATCAATAATGTCGACGCGATGAATAGATGAGAGGAAATACACTTTTATTCAATAATGCATAAAAAAATTATTTACAACGCTGATACTCATAATCAATAAATTACTTAACATACTTCTCCATAAATTTGCGATGGAATTCACTTCGCAGGGAATCGTTAATAAAGACGTCGTGTTTCTTTTTCGGTTCGGAACGTGCGCAATTTTTAAAGACGACGTCGTCATCCCATCGTCTTCGTACTTTCATGTCCACTCTTCCACTCTGCGAAGAATAATTCAACAGAGGATTTCCCGAAAGAATATTTTCCATGCGTATTCTTTCCTCCTCTTGACGTTTCTCCATTTCCTGCAATACGCAAGACAATATTAATATATTTTATCTTTTAGACACAAAAGATACGTGAAGGAGACAAAGACAGCAAGAGCCGAAGTATTCTAATGTGGCTTAGCACTCACTTTCAGCTGTGTGAAGTTGGCACTCCTAAGTGCGAATTTTGACAAAATCTATATGGCATTAGATTGTCCACTATTTGTCCATATTTGTCCAATAATAATCATTTTTTGTCCACTCTTGAAAAAAATTATTGCTCTAATTTTTAATTTGTTTATAATTTTTTGTAGCAAGGTGGACAAAAAACGATTATTGATGGACAAATGCAGACAAATTGTGGACAATTTGTCGAATCCCGTATGTAATTTAAAAAAAATGCACTTAGGGGTGCTTACGTTAAAAAAAATTTCTTTTTTTAATTTTTTCCAAAAGTGGACAAAAAATTATTATTATTGGACAAATATGGACAAATAATGGATAATCTAATGCCATACAGATTTTGTCAAAATTTGTATTTAAGGGTGCCAACTTCACGCAGCTATAACAGTACATAACGTTAAAAAAAATTTTTTTTTTAATTTTTTCCAAGAGTGGACAAAACGCAGCACTCACTTTCTTAGCTTGTTCTGCCGCTCGCTCTTTCTTAATCCTCTGAAGTTCGGCCATGAGCGCAGCAGTGTCGTCTTCTTCGCTATCAGAATCTGACTCGTCCTCATCGAGTGGATCATCCGCATCTAGGCTGGCAGCAGGAACTTGGTCTAACTTTTGCCTCTTCGTACTGGACGTAGTCGATTCTCTGGAAGGTTCAATGGCACGACGGCCTGATCCTTTATCCTTGTCTGTACGCTCTCTTTCCTCCAATTCCTTCCTGAAATCTCGGTTTCGCAATTCCTCGATTGTTCCTTGACCATGTTCCCTACAGAGAAACAACAAAATTAGTCTCACAAAATATTCTCTGTATAGTCCTATATACAATTTTTTCCCCTGGAATTTCATTCTTTTATATATCCTAGATGCAATGCTCTGTCATATGTTTCTTAATAGATTATCATATACATTGATAAAGTTTACTATTAAAGTTAGATAGTTCTGGCTTTTGTATAATTAAATGGATGTTGTAGGAAGACCTGAGTATAATTGAAGAGTACAAACATTATTGATTTTCATCAATGATATTAATACCTGAACATTTAGTTTATAATACAATACTAAATTCATGACTTGTTATTATACAAATGCGCCATAAATAAGCATAGCACAATATTGCGTTTATAATCCACGCTATGTAAATCTGTTTCAAAAAAGGTGACTGTGTATCGAATCAGCTATATGGAAAATAAATTTCATGGTATTCCAGAGAAATAGTGACAAGCAAAGATTTATTCCTAGAACAACGAATTGTCAATTTGTCAACACAGAAGAGGAACTATGATTTTGTAGTTCTGCAACTGTAATATATATATATTTATAACATTATTAAATATTCATGTTATATTTTTATAACATTATAAATATTATTATCCAATGGCCAATATTTTATCCGTATAGTACAGTCATGAACATGGCACTTTTGCATTTGTACAAAATAAAGAACATCGACTTGAATGCAAAAACCAACTTTAAAAGACTAGGTAATTAATTACAATTGCACTCAGAATCTTTGCTTTCTCTTCAATGTTCAAATATATATTTATCTGATTTTAAGTGCAATAATTTTTGAAAATTTCGAGCAACACGAATAAATCTTGCAGCGAAAGAGCCACAATATTTTCCAGTTATTTATTCCATACATATAATTCAATGCAATAACAAGAGTTATTGCATAACATAGAGTGCAGTATCAAATAAAATTAAAAAATTATCATCCTGTTGATATACATATCTACAAAATATAATAATAATAATAAAAAATAAAAAAAAATAACATATTTATTCGCCGTTTGTCCAAATTGTGCCAGTTATGAAACTTTCAATAGACTGTCTATGATAGTGAGTGTTGGTGTTACATGCTCGATTTATATATTACATATTTCTCTCATTTGTATTTATGCTTTCTAAACCAGAGGAAATATACATTTATTTTGAAGGGAAAAAGGGGAGAGGACAAGTTCAAACCTAACCATTGCATCTTTGGTTATCATAACCTCAAAATAGTCTGTCAACATAAATGGACCGGGAGCAGGGATGCGAATTCCTTTTTGTGCATTGATAATTGAAGATTAGCGCGTAATCGTCATTGGATCATGGAAAATCGACGGCGACTTCCAAGTTCGTGTCGAATTTGTGATTTGCTGCTTACCTATACTTCAGCTTCGTGTGCGACGGCAAATCCCTGCTGCTGTACTGCTTCGAGATTGCACTCAGATCCTTCTCTCCTCGTCCTTGCCCTCCTCGAGCAGGCTCGAAGGTCGGTCTTGCCGCCGTTGTCATGTTTTCGGCGCAAAAGTCACTCGGACCTTAAAACTGATCGATCAGATGGCAATCGGACAATCGGACTGAACTGGACGGCGGACGCAAACGTTGGCGGTTGGAATGGTTGGATCAGTATTGTTTGGTACTAGCGTATGGTGCATGTACATACATGCATACACACATGCATACGTATATACATTGCGATTGCACATTCGAGCGTGGCATTAATGCCGTACTAACTTTGAATCTATAAAGGTTCTATAAGGACCCTATTTTGATGTTTTTAGGCCCATTTCTATTGATGTAGATTAACTTTAATCTTGATTAATTTACTTTTTTTTTCTAATTAATTATTAGAACTAATTATTACATGTGAAAAAAAATTAATCAAACGTACATACTGAGATTAAAGTTAGTCTACATTGATGGAAAATGAACGTTATAAAAATTATATTAAGTATTAACCTTGAGAAAATTAATAAGAATTGTAAAGCAATGTAGAAATTTTTAATCTATCGAAGACGAGAAAAGAAGATATATGATTTTGAGAATAAATAATTTATTTCTTTATTTCTTCTTATATTATTCTATAATATCAATAATTAATGATACAAGCAGAGAGGATTCTCTCTGGTACAAGTTTCGACTTTAATTAATTTAATGAATCTTCAGCTGTAAAGAAATAATAATAAATATACTTAAAATATAAATTAATATTAGTTTAAAAATGAAAATAGAATAATATTAAAATAAAACGATTATAAAATAAAATCCCGCCAGACCTATATATAGATAAATAGATATCTCTCTAAACTGTATACGTTACTGAATTTTCGACTTTAGTACGCATGCGCGAAAATGTGACTCACCCTTAACGTAACGTCACTGCGTAGTGATGTTGGAGAGCTATCGAAGAGTTTGACAGTCTCGATATTATCGATAAACCTTCTTGATAATTATCGATAAAGTTATCGATAAAAGCTCTCGACAAGAATTCGTCGTGACAGTGGAAGCTCATCTATTAATAAATCCTTATAAAGCTCTCCGCTAGCTTCTCGCGACGTTCTCCAGTATCTTCGTGCGACGTTCGGGCGAGTTTTGCGTCGTCGTTTTGTAAATCTCATCGACCAGCAATCAATTTCGTCACCGCGCGAGAAGAGATACGGCGGGAAAATGCGATTTGCTGATGGTTGATCGCTACACCCGTTTATCTCCGTGTAACTTGGTGTCGACGACTTTACACCTTGACGCGCTCCAGTTTCCGTCGTGCGTCGCATCGATCAGTGTGAGATAAGAGCGGCTCGCGTGGCAAAAACCTTCGCGCAAGCTCCGATTTTGAGTGAGGGGGAGGAAAAGGGGGATAAAAAAAAAGAGGAGACCGCGTCCACCCGCGAGGGACTGACAATCTCGTCGTCGGCGCGGCGCGGCGCGGCCCCGATGACGGGTCAGGACGGGACGTAGTGCGGACGCGATTGGTGATGGGAGACGGGGAGTTGGTCGCGCGCGCGATCCCGATCGATTGTGAGTGAATTGCGACGAGAGCCGGGGGACGGCCGCGAGCGAGGCACGGTTGCGTGATATGCGCCCGATCGTCCACCGGCGCGGCCGGGCACGGTGACCGATGCGGCCTGACGCGGCCGGCGGCGGCGCGGCGGCATCAGAAGACGACGACCCGGCGGCGGGGCCCGATCGGCGTCGCTCAGCGTCGGCGAGGATGAGCGAGAGGAAGTTCACGCGCGGCCTGGGGAAACCCGGCATGGCGGCGCAGCTGCGGGAGACCGTGTCCCAGGTCGTCCGCGAGAGCACGGTGCAGGTGAGCCGGTCGATCGCGTACGCGTGTCCAGGAACCTCGTCGGGCGTCAAAGTTGACGCGGGGAGCTTTGTAGCGCGGAGCTGCCCCGATGTAAACAATCGTCCTGGGAGCTCGAATTTCGGAGGGTTCTGCTGGACCTCCCCGTGTTGGTCGGCCCACGTCGCGGAATTTCGTCGCGAATTTTATCAGTCGACCGACGATTGTCGACACGAGGCTTCGTGGAATCGAAATCTTGAAGTGTTCCAAGATTTCTTTACGCGAAATTCTATGTGCTCTTTCAAAATTTACGTGTTGTTTTTTTTTCTTTTACAGAATAAGCCACACTTAGTCGAACCCATCGACTTTGAGAATTTTGTACTGAAGAATAAGACGCTGTTGCAAAATGATCCTCAGCGAGAACTGCTGCTGTATCCCCAGGACGATACTTCTGTAAGTCACCGCTTTCATATACTGCTTATCTATATCAGTGTGTTACCAGCATTCCATTTATAGATAGATAATGAACAAAGGAAGGATATGGCAGTAGGATGAGATAAAAATGTGAAATACATAAAGAATATGGTTAAGGATATATTAGCTATACAGTCTCAGAAAAAAGTGACACGTATTGAAAACAAAAAGTGAATTTTTGTACTTTTTGTAGCATATATTTGAGTCTGATAAGATCACTACTGGCTTTAATTGCACAAAATTAAAGTGTTTTCGATAATAAAATTTTATCTACTCTTCATACATATTTTTAGTTTCTTCGTTAAAAATGTTGAATGTGACTATACATCTTGTAATTGCATCTTTTGCTCGAACGTTTGTCACCTATTTTTGAAAAGAAAAATACTTTCTACTGATTAGCTGTAAGATAAAAATTATAAAACGTATAAATGTGATAAAATACCAAAAGTAACGAGATTTCGTTTGGAATGGCAAAATTGTGTTCGAAGCAATAATAAAGATTAATGGAAGAGGTTAAGTTTTAGCTGTCTAGTTTTTAATTAATATCTTTGTAACAAGCTAATAAATACACGCATGTTTTCTCCTTTTTGAATTGTTTTTGAGATCTTTAGCAAGCAATTTAAAATGGTTTTAGAAACTGTCATCACATCTTCCATGTATAGTCAATACAATCTTAATAAATTTTTAATTTTAATTGTATAAATGAGCAAAATTAAAAATATATTGTTAAAAAATTTCATTTTTCTTCTATCTTTTCTGAGATAGCAATTATCCAATTATCTTAATTATGATCATTAAATATGTATTTGTGATATGTTAAATGTGTGATTATAAGGACTATTGTTTTTAAATGCATTTATCTCTCAACAGCAAGTGGTTCTACCAAGGAGATATCGCAGTATTGTACCGACGGCACAATATATCACGGAATGTGAGGAACAAGCGGAAAATCTTCTGACGAAGGAGTGTCTATCCAGTTATATATCCAATTGGAATCTTGTGCATTACAAGTACGCGGCATATAGCGGAGGTTATCTCGAGTTGCCAAGGTACGTGTTTAGTTCAACATTCTCGAGATTAATTAGTACCATCAAGTCTGTCATTTCGTAGACTGTTATTTCATAAATTTCCAGAATAACGAAAGCAGACGAGCTGAAGGACGAAGTGTACGAGATCGATACTGAGGTGGATCAAGTGGATGAGGTAATGTCCTACTCTACAAGATTTAGATAGGGTAACTGTCCCTATTAGTGTGCCTGTATGTCCCTATTAGTGTGCTTTTATATTTAAAAATAAGTCATAAAAATAAACTGATACAAATAAATAGACAAGTGTTTTTTTTATTAAGTTAATACTTTAACCTAATAAAAAAAAACACCTTGTGTACTTTATTTACTTGTCAGTTTATTTTTATGACTAATTTAATAAAAGCACATTAATAGGGACGTACAGACACACTAATAGGGACAGTTACCCTATGCAATTTTAGTACCGGTGATGTTTTGGATCTTTAGAATTTTGGAAATCAATTTAAAAATTCAAATCATTTAGATTACTGTTCTCTCGTAGCATATTTAGGACTAAATATGTGATCTGTGAATATTTTCGCAGGACTTGACGAAGAACGATGGTATAACGAGGGAAGGTTATCTGATGAAAGGTCCTGAGATCGGTAGTACGGATAGAATGTTCGCTCATATCGGCTCGAAGTCGTTCAAGAGACGTTTCTGCCATCTCAGACAGGAGGTCGACGGCACTTACATACTCGAGTTTTTCAAAGACGAGAGAAAAGGCGAGGCGAAATTGACGGTGGTGATGGACTTCTGCACGGAAGTCGTGCGAAATCCGAAGCGCGGGCGATTCTGCTTCGAATTGCGAATGAGCGACACTCACAAGTCTTACACTTTGGCCGCCGACACCGAGGCTGATATGCAAGATTGGTTATTGAAGCTGAGTTCCGTCATACAGCACTACAAACAGCAGGAGGAAAAGCGTGCCGCGTCGCTGGAGAGAACCTGTAACACGCCCCCGCCGTCGCCGCAACCTATGCAGGTGGGGCAATCGTATTCTCGCAAATCTTATCTTTAATCTTGTTATTAAGGGATTACACCACCTTTGAGGCCTTAAAAGAGACCTAAGTTTGGGATTTTTTTGTGGGTAAATAGATAACTTTATTAAAAATCTACTTAGAGAATATTGTACCGTATATAAGAAAGTAAAAAAAAAAAAATATTTTTTTATATCCAAAATGGCGACTCTGGTTTACTTGCGGAATCCCTTTTTTTTTCCAAATCGGTGTACAGGATTCCAGGCACACGGTTTGACTTTGAATAAAACACAATGAATTTTTATTATCTACATATTAAAGACTGTAGAAGTACGTAGGGGTTTTTTAATATATTGATTTTGGCGAAGTGGCAGCTATTTTTACGAAAACTTCGTATTTTTGTCAATACAAGTCTTTCGTAAAATAGCTGCTATTTTGAGAAAAATCAATATTTTGAAAAATCCCTACGTACTTCTCTAGTCTTTAATATGTAAACAACGAAAATTCTTTGTGTTTTGTTCAAGATCAAACCGTGTGCTTGGAATTCTGTACACTGAGAGAAAAAAAAGGATTTTGCAAGTGTAGGCCAGTGCGCCGCCATTCTGGACATAAGAAAAATTAAAAAAATATTTTTTCAGTTTCTTATATATGTGCAATAATGTTCTCTAAGCAGATTTGAAATAAAGTTATTCATTTACTCACAAAAAATCCCAAACTTTAGGTATCACGTTTTAAAACCTCAAAGACGGTGTAACCCCTTAAATCTTAACTTTTTAAATGAAAGTTTATTCGACGGTAATTTTGTGATGAAATAAAAGACAAATGTTTGATATTAAAGTAAATTTATGTTGAAATAAACTTAATATATTTTTGATTTTCTTCTAGGTTTATGGAACGCTGAAAGGTCTCGAGCAGAGCATGAATCCGCAATTAATAAAATATTCCAGGGAGACTGACACCAGCATTGCTTTAGCGAGGAGAGAGAACAGAAAAAGACTGTTCAATGTGTATCCTTACATACCACATGCCAAAACGCAAGTAGGACAATCTGCCGATAACGTGGATCCTTACAAGGAGCAATTCGGCCACAGGATTCTCGTCAAGTGCGAAAGTCTTAAATTTAGACTGCAAGCGCCTATTGACGAAAAGGAATCTCTTTGCCAAGTGGAGCCTTATCATACAGTGTTGAGCCTTTTCGACGCGAGGAATGGCAGGAAACTCACGGAGAATTTTCACTTCGATATTAATCACGAAATAGTGCGAGATATGGCGAGAGAACTTAGTCCCGCAGGAATTACAACGGAAACGGAGGATATCACTCTTCCTGGGGAATTGAAAACCATTCCTTCGGACTGGATAAAATATCCGAAACAGGTATGATTATTTAAATATGAAGAGAAGCAGAGGAAGATGAGATATATTAATGATTCTGAAGCGTATATAAATGTCCAAGATAAGAATTTATTAATTATATTATTAATAAAATAAGGATTTATATTAATACAAAGAACGTGATTGCTGTTGCAGGCCATATTCAACATTAGTAATCCTCATCCAGATATATTTCTTGTTGTAAGGATAGATAAGTTGCTTCAAGGAAACATGTATCAGACCTCAGAACCATATTTGAAAGCTACCAAGGATCCGAGGTTAGGCTTGAAGGTGCACAAGCAAGTGCGAGCATGTTGCCAAAGGTAAGATTATAAATTCAGATACTTTTTTTTTGTATAATATCCAGTGTGAGTCTCATGTTTGAAGAGAATCAGGGTTGCCACAAAACTGGAAATCAGGGAAAAGTCATGGAATTTTACAAAATATTTTGGAAAATTAAAATTCTTAGTTTTAAAGAAGTTTAATATGCGTATATCACAGACTTATACAGTTTTGTTAACTAATGTAATTAATAAATTCTCTAATATATAATAATACTAAGTAAAAAATAAATTCTCTTTTTAATAAAGATTTAAGATGCTTCACTAAGAGCATTAGAATTTTCAATTTGTCTACTTTTTGTTTGAAATTTTAAATTTATTTAAAACTGTTTTTTTTTAACTTGTAAATTTCTTGTGTTATCATTGTGAACAAATTAATAAAATTAAAATTAACTTCATATTTTTGTAATTCATCTTTCAAGTAGTTTGTAAATCTCTGTATAACAGCAAGTCAGAGATTCCAATAAACGGGATTTAGTTTGATCAAGAATCTATATTTACATGTTTTTTGTATTGTAAGTAGAAGAAAAGAAATGTACGCATATATAAAAGAAAAAGTTAAAGGAATACTAACAACTTAACAATTAAGTGCAAGCAATGTCAACAACAGCTATAGTAATTTACATTGCAATGTTAAATTGCTCTCTCAACAAAATATTTAACAGTTTCCAAATAGTTTTCAAATCAAACGAACATACAAACAAATTTTTTAATATTATTGAAAGTCAGGGAAAAAGTCATGGAATTTTATTGAGAATTTTATTTAGAATGAAGAATTTATGGCAACCCTGAGAATGCTTGATAATTAAAGAGATGACTACATTCGCGATCCTTTTTCAGACTGGGAAATTATAGAATGCCGTTTGCGTGGGCTGCAAGGCCACTGTTTAGATTGTATAGCAACGAACTGGATACATCCTCGGATTTTCCAGCGATATACAGGCAGGAGGGTAATAAAATAAAAGATGAGGAACTACTAAAACTTCTTTCCGAATACAGAAAGTACGTATTAATAATAACTGAATGTGATTAAAAAATTTATGCGATACGGATATATTTATGCTTAGTATGCATATATTATATTAGACATTATATTAGCAAAATTTTGCTTACAGGCCTGAGAAGCTTAGCAAATTGACTGTGATACCTGGTTGGCTGAAAATTAAAATAGAGCCCATTACGGACATTCCTGAAAGTGCGTAGTCGAGTAATATATTGTTACAAAAGTTTCTTGTACTAGTTTTTGTACAATAGATATCTATATTCTAAAAAAATACTCTTTAGAACACAAAGATAACACTAAAGATATATACATTTCGGCATTTGAGAACTAAAGATTTCGAAAACAGGTTTCGAAGAAACAATAATTTAAAGTGCAATAAGTATGCAAGAATCACACCAACTTTTGTAACTTAATTCTATGTAATTTAATTTTTCGTAATAAGCAAAACGACTTTCTCATGTGAAAAGAGAAATTATAGTCAATAGTTTCGAACGATTGCAGGTGTACGATACATAAAATACGATTTCTAGATACGTTGTCGACTTGCCTAGCGCCGTTAAAGCCATTTCCGATCCCACCAACGGCGGAGCCGACGATCGAGGTCGCCGAGTTCGAGAGCGCTTCCGAGAGGGACGTGCACCCGTATACGACATATATCAATCATCTGTACGTGTATCCGCAGACACTCAGCTTTGACAGCCAAAAGATGTTCACCCGAGCTAGGAACATAGCGTGTATCGTGGAGCTCCGTGACGACGACAGCGAGAACGTCAAACCTTTAAGAGTACGTGATAAAAGAAGTTAACTTTGAAGATCGAAGGAATCTACGTAGATTTTATTTTCTTTCTGTTACACCTGTCCTAACAGGTGATTTATGGGAGACCGGGTTCGCCGTTGCTGTGCCTACGAGCGTCGTGCGCGGTATTACATCACAGCGCAGTGCCTTCTTGGTATGAAGAGATCAAGATTAAGCTACCTACGAAATTGCACGCGAAACATCATATACTGTTCTCCTTCTATCACATAAGCTGTGACATGAACAAGAAGAAGGAGAACGGCGTTGAAAACTGTGTCGGCTATGCGTGGGCACCTTTGCTGCACAAAGGAAGGTGAGGTTCGATAGACGATAAGCGGTCGATGAGAATTTAAGCTGCATTTAAGCTGTACTTAGCGTATTTTGCGACACTTTATCTGACCTTGTCGTAACATTCGGGCAATAGAAAGAAATAAAAAAGTAGACAGAAAAAAATATTCTTAATAAAATCAATACAGAAACAATTTCGCTCCAATATTTAACAAATTCTTAATAATATAAATAACAAACGTTTCGACCCCGATCGGGTCATTATCAATTTTAGGAGAAACGGAAATCGATTAATATACATTACATAAAATAAATTTAAAATCTTACAATATACGTGAAATGTTAAACGTGCGCTCGCAGTCCATATGTAGCATGATCGCAGTTCAAAAATTAAATTGTGTTGGTCGTCTCCTTAACACACAATTTGAAATTTGATTTTAGACCGACACAATTAATTTAGACGACCAACACAATTTAATTTTTGGACTGCGATCATACTACATGTGGACAGCGAGCGCACTTTTAACATTTCACGTATATTGTAAGGATTTAAATTTATTTTATGTAATGTATTAATCGATTTCCGTTTTTTAACGTTGATAATGATCCGATCGGGGTAGTAACGTTTGTTATTTATATTATTAAGAATTTGTTAAATATTGGAGCGAAATAACAACCAAGCTTTGGCTCATAGCCCATTATCTGTATTGATTTTATTTTCAATTATTGAGCCTTGACTATTAAATAAATATTTTTAATATTTTATATATTTTATGTAGACTGAACGTGGATATAGAATCGAATATCCAAGTGTTGCCCGTGGCGACGCATTTGCCGTCGGGATATCTCTCCATACAACCCCTTGGATTAGGGAAAGGGGTAAGAGTAAGATCGATCACTGATATTGTTAAGTAACGACATATGTAGTTAGATGTTGACATGGGGGTGATTTATGTATTTATTTTCGTAGAACGCAGGGCCGGATGTCACTTGGATCGACTCTCAACGACCGATCTTTACGGTATCTTTTCAATTAATTTCGACGGTATTCACGCGGGACCTTCATCTGCACAACCTGTTCGTTCACGCTGAACGCATCTTGGACACAAAACCCTCAGCTACGCCCTCGGATTCGGAAACGTGCAAAATCCTGAAAGCGGCACACGCAATTCAGCTAGTCACCGTTATCACGTTTCTCCCAACTATATTGAATCAACTGTTCGTGTTGTTAACGTGCAATACCAGCCAAGAGATCGGGCTGTATGTAATCAGGGTCTTGATACATTTCATAAACATGGTGCACGAAGCCGGGCGTAAGGAAATTCTGCAAGCGTACATCAAGGTAGGATTTAGAGTATGTCCGATAAACGAAGGACGGAAGGAACGGCCAATAATTCGAGCAAATGAGGGTGTTGAAAAAATGATAATTTATTTTCATGTAGTAAGTACGCAACGGTACGTTTCCATCTCACTTGGCCTTTCTCAACCGCATAAAATTACATTAATGAAAATTTGATAGAGAATTACATTTGATTTAAAGTACGCTGGACAGAAAAAAAAACGGGCATAACTAAAGTTCTTAAAAAGACGCAAAATCCCGTTATTTGAATGTACAAGTGACAGAAAGATGAAGTCGTTCTAAGTCCATGAATTGAAACTGTAGTAAAACCCGTTCGTCGTTCAAATGCGAGAAGGAGTAGAGGCAAATCAACGAAATCGAGAGTCCGTAAACTAAAATATTAAATAAATTGTATATATAGTATAACGGGATTTTTGCGTCTTTTTGAGAACTTTAGTTATGTCCGTTTTTTTTCTATCGATACGTACTTTAAATCAAATGTAATTCTCTATTAAATTTTTATTAATGCAATTTTATGCGGTTGAAAAAGGCCAAGTGAGGTCGAAACGTACCGTGTTGTGCTTACTATATGTAATAAATCATCATTTTTTGATAACCTAACCTAACACTCTTATTTGCTCGAATTATTGGCCATTCCTTTTGTCCTTCGTTTATTAACCTCGAGCAGAATTTAAATATAATATGCCTGATAAATATTCAATTTCCGGTTCTTTTCCTTGATAATTCGCACAATTTTGAAATTCCCGTTCAATCTGCAATTGATCTGACCCTAATCTAACTCTCTGATTCCAGTTTGTATTTGTGCTGCCTCCCCTACGAAATGGTAACGTCGCGGTTCACGAGCAATTGGCGAAGCACTTGCCAGTTTTGCTACAACCGAGCAATACCGATTTTCTGGTGGTGAACAAGTTCATGCATCACTCGAGCTTCTTTTTCGAAATAATGATTAAAAGTATGGCGCAATATTTGCTGAGTACTGGCAGGATAAAGGTGAGTGTTCTTCGAGCTCTTCGAGATTACTTTAAGATCTTAAAACTTGACGATTATTAACGAGAGAGTAAGATTATCAATTAAATATTGGTTAATTTTTCGTAATGTTTTACCAAAATAAATTTATTAGTCTGCTTTTTTTGTTTTCATAAAAATGATTTATGTGTAGACAATTTATTTTTTCTCAGATGCACAGAAACGAACGGTTCTCAAAAGATTATCACGAAAAGATCAAGATGTTGTTGGACGTGATTATGCCATATTTAATGAACAAGTACAGAGAAATGCCAGTGGAGACGCACGAATTGAACAAAAGTCTCGCACAATTTTTAAAGGTACGTAATATTACACGACAATTACACGTAATGTATGTCTTGATCACTATTTTGATATTGATTGTCGTGACACACAGCGATGTCTCACATTCATGGACCGTGGCTTCGTGTTTCGCCTCATCAATTCTTATCTGGACAACTTTTCGCCTGGCGACCAACGCACGCTGCACGATTTCAAGTTCACCTTTTTACAAATTGTCTGCTCTCACGAGCACTATGTGTCCTTCAATCTGCCGATGATGCAGTCGCGTCTTGCTTCCAGAGGTAAGTTCTCATATCGATACATATGAAGATTACGGTGAAAGTTTACTGTAACTTAATTGTTTCGCGTGTTTAAAAGATGATACTGAGAATGACATTGAGAGTGAACCAGAATACGATGGTACGTTTATAATTCATGCAATTCACACAAATACATGTGTTATGTGTACGTTTTGTTCATAGCATATATTCGTTATTTTCTCTTTATGTAGCAATATGTTGGTTATAATATGTTGTTAGATATGTAAGACTATCATTGATTTAAAAATTGAATTTTTTCAAGTCTATAAATATACGTTTCTACACATTATTTGTAGTTTTATAGCAATATGCACTAAAAATCTCATACATTTTCTATTTGTATTTCAATATGCACTTATAACACTTATATTATTTCAGTTATTATACAATTAGAGATAGTATGTATAAAAAACTGACAAACACATTAATTTGATGACAGATCTAATGAATGAGTATTGCCTCACGGAGGAATTTTGCAAACATCACTTTCTGGCTGGTCTTTTGATGCAAGAAGTTAGAACCTCCCTCAATGAGATTGTGCAGATTCGCAAAGTCGCCATTGGTACCTTACGGGATCTAATGGCAAAACACGAGTTGGACGATAGATATCAGAATAAGGTGCGATTTTCAATTTTCGTTTATAATTACAAGCTGCTCTTACGATTGTCTTTAAGAATTTGCATTGTTGAAAAAAATTGGGGAAGATTTTATTTCTTCTAGTAATTTATTTATCATAATTTATTATTAACTTTAATTCGTGAGTCCAGTGAATTTGACATTTTTATGCGCCAAATCTCCAAATAGTTGTGACAAAATTGTTTATTACAAATTTTCTGTAATTTTAAATTAATATTGTTTATAACAAGTTTTCCATAATTTTAAATTAATAATCTTGTTCTCTTGGATTTCGATCTTTAAAATGACAAAAAAATTACTTAATAACGTTAACTTTAAGCAAAGATACATTAATTTAAAGTTAATTGGATATATATTCTGTGAATACCAGTTAAAGAAATTTTGGACCGAATATACCGATTTAGTCTATATGTTTTGAATCTTATTTCAGGGTCAACTGAGTAGAATAGCATCGATTTACATACCATGGCTTGGAATTGTATTGGAGAATTTGCACCGACTGCAGTTAGTAGAGGAGAACGAGATCAAGATAGAGATCAAGCAGAACGGCACTAACAGAGTGTCAACCAGTAGCTCGTTTCTGACAACGAAGGATACCATTTCTACGACCGCGGGTACACCTAAGTCCATTCACAGGTATATGTCAATATATCAATAAAATATGATAAAATAGATAATTATCAATTAATTGAAAGTCAAAGAGAAGTTTCAATGTTCCGCAGACTGACTCTTCACCTGGACACTCAGTCGCCTATAAGATCATCTATGCATCTGCGAGATTCCACTTACTTTGCCGCCATCGCGGGTCAGGGATTAGTAAACGGATACTCCTGCACCAGTGTCGAGTCCGACACATCGACGGTGTCTGGTGCGTCCCAGTCTAACATTTCCCAAGAGACCGCCATCGTTCGAGAGTTGCCGGAAAACGGAATGGGCGAGAGGAAGAGACATTCGCGTACCTTGAGCGTGACGCAGTCGTCGCCCAGATGCGATAAGTTGCAGCCCTCGGAAGTGAAGGATATTCTACTTTGTTTCCTCTTTATTGTCAAGTACTTGGGTGATCACCAGGTGATTGCCTGGTGGCAACAATGCAACGATACAGAAGTACTGAGCTTCTTTACGGTGATCGAGTAAGTAGGAAGATTGATAGTGTAGTAAATAGTACGAAATATTGGCGATATATTCCTGTTTCTGTAAAAATTTAGCGATATTCTCTTATGAATAGCATATGATTAGTATTGTGTAAAACGTATTGCTGCGTATTGCATGTTTAATATATTTATTTCTGATTTTATATGAACAACTTCTCTTGTACTTTTAGGATGAGTTTGCATCATTTCAAATATATCGGTAAGAGACAAATAGCCGCGAATGCTGCGAGTAATGTTGGAAAGCCACGCACTGTTAAAGCAATGACTTTACCCGCCAGAATGGCGCCGCCAGACTTCACCACTGAAAGTCCCGCTACCAGCACATTGCAACCTCACAATACAGTTACTAGAGAGAATCTAGTTGAAAATGATAGCGGCAAATTGTATCAAGCTCTATTGGAGGCAAATATGGCAACGGAAGTTGGCCTGATCGCGCTGGATTGCTTGGGTCTCTTCTGCATCCATTTTAAAGTAATTATGATTACTTTATCATGAATTTTCTAGTCTCAATTTTTACGTGTAAAATGTATGATCAATCATTTCCTAGAACATGTTAATTGCTCTAAGGCAATATGTCATGATAGCATAATTGCTAAAAATTGAGAAATTTATTGACTAGTTTAGTTAGCACAAGATTTTAATAAATAAAAATATGAATATGTTAAAAGGATTTTAAAACAGTTCAAGAAATCAGTACGAGTTTACATAGATTTTGAATATTAAAATACGCAAACAATAATAAGTAAAATTGATCGATGTAGAATAACATAAATAAGTGAAGAACGCATTAGTTAGTCAATTTAGATCATACTGCATTTATATTTAAGTTTATATTATTATTAATATTTAATTTAAATATTTATATTTAAATATTTTTACATAAATAAATGAAGAAAGTCATATTCGATCAAGGTGGACTTTGATCAATATAATTCAATTGCTTGTCAATTTGAATTCGTGATATTACGAATGATGACTCCAGCTTCAGTTTGGAATTGTGTTTCAAGATCGATAAATAATTGACACGCAGTTTGCATGAACTGAAAATTGTAAAAAATATTTTCTCACAAAATATTTAGCACCAAAGTCCACCTTGAATGTGGCTTTCTTCTTATTTGTGTAAAAATATTTATATATAAATATATAAATTAATGATGAAATATAAATTTAAATATAAAAATATAAAAAACTTTGATCTAAATTGACTAACTAAAATATAATTAAAAGTTGTAATAACGACGGAACATCTGACTTTTTGCAGGATATTCTCTTGGCAAATGAAGGCGACAACGCAGTCATGCAAAAGTTTTTCAACATTTATTTATCATTCCTTCAAGTCGGCCAGTCCGAAACTTTATTACGTCATGTTTTCGCTGGACTCCGAGCTTTCTTGAATAATTATTCTGTCGCGCTTTTCCAAGGTAATTGTTAATTCTCGAAACTTCAAAAATTGCGTTTTATTTGTAAGGAAACGGGAATGCAAAAATGGTCTTCGATGATAAGAGAGCACATATAACAAGCGTATATGTAAAACACGCATAAAGCTTGATCACATTTTTTTTTCTTGTTAGGCAACGCTGTGCTTTGCGGACGCTTGTGTTACGAGCTGCTGCGTTGCTGTAACAGCAAGTTGAGTTCCATACGACAGGAGTCCTGCGCTTTATTATATTTGCTCATGCGAAGTAATTTTGAGTTTACTAGTCGGAAGGGATTAACTAGAGTGCACTTGCAGGTACGGTACACTTGTTTAAAGCACAATCTCCAAGTTGAATTTATTTAACGCCATATACAGGATGTCCCGAAATTCGCAAATTAAAATACTGTTAGCAAGAAAGTCTTCGAAAAATTAAGTGAAAAAGTTCTTTGTAAATTTGTATTCTAAGTAATTTTTATTTGTTATAATTGGCTAAATTTAAACTCTTGTCTCTCAAAAACTACTGCTTAAAATAAAAATTTACAAATAACTTTTTTTACTTAATTTTTTGAAGATCTTGCTACGATATTTTGATTCGCGAATTTCGGGACACCCTGTATATTTATATAGTCATTATTATTATTATTATTATTGTATTAGCGTTTTAATTACAAGTTTTAACCATGTCCTATTGCACATTTGTTCCACATAGGTGATAATTTCGGTCTCTCAAATGCTGGGAAATGTGATCGGTTTGAACAATTCGCGATTTCAAGAATCGCTGTCGTTAATCAACAGTTACGCCTCCTCCGATAAAGTTATGAAAGGCACGGGTTTTCCAGTTGAGGTGAAGGATCTCAACAAAAGAATACGAACGGTTTTAATGGCAACCGCGCAGATGCGGGAGCATAATAACGATCCTGAGATGCTAGTCGACCTGCAGCACAGTTTGGCCAACTCTTATGCCAGCACGCCCGAATTGAGGCACACTTGGTTGGAGACGATGGCTAGGAATCACGCCAGGGATGGTAATTTCTCTGAGGTATCTACTTTTACGAATTGTTTCGCGAAAAAAGCTCGTATGTAAAAATACATTGCACGAGGTACTTACGCAACGGGCATTTCAACACGCGTTTTTCATTCCTAAGGCTGCCTGCTGTCAACTGCATATCGCAGCACTAATGGCTGAATATCTGAAATTGCGGAAAGTTCATCCGTGGGGCGCGGAGGCTTTCGATCAAATCTCCATAAATATATCGAAGGACGAGCGTAATCTCAAACTCGATGCCGGTGAGATTTGTATGTTTGTTTTTATTGCATTTTGTTTATCGTCTGTATTTATTGCATTTTTGTTGTGTCACGTCTATGCGTGTAAATTGAGGACAGATATGCAAGAGATGTTGACCTTGTTCCAGGCATTCAAGATATTCACTATAATGAAAGTTTACTTCTCGAACAATTGGAGGTTTGCGCCGACACGTTGGAGAAGGCCGAGCGCTTTGAATTACTTGGGCATTTGTACCGCTTAATAGTTCCTATGTATGAAAAGAAAAGAAATTACGAAGCTTTGGCTAATTGTTACTCGCATTTGGCACAAGCCTGCAATAAAATTGTGGAGGTAACGCGAACTGGAAAGAGATTGCTCGGAAGGTTCTACAGAGTGGCATTCTTTGGCATGGTAAGATAGATACATTATCGAGACAAGAGAATATATTTTTATAATCTAAAAAAATTTGATGCAAAAGGCATTATAAGTCATATATATCACATATATATCCCTCTGCCCGGAATATCGGTAATTACGACCGCTAAGGTTCACATTTACACCAGTGGAAAAATGAATGAAACTTGTGTTTTTCTAGAATAGTGGTCATTATGACGGGGTGTTTCATGTAACCGGGTATCCAGGGATGTTTCGGGCAGAGGGATATACATGTGTGTGTATATATATATATATATATATATGTATATATGTATATAATGATTTATATATTTTATATATATTGCGAGCACTCAGTCTATTGCATTTTTTATAGTGAAAAGTTTGGATCTGTGAATGTTAAAAATGATGGGTTATCGATCGATGTAAGCGAATTAGATCCCAAGGTAGCGTACATTTAAGTAACGTATGTCACATTTTGAGAAAATTGAGTTGGAAGTATGACAGACTGAGTGACAATCTTCGTCGCACACAACTCTGATATGTTCTCTAAATTTTGTTATCAATATAAACTTGAAAGAAATGATACTTTATTATATATATAAAGTAATTATTGAAGATTGTACCTCACTCGTGAGTTCGATCATGCAATATATATAAGATATATAAATCACGAGAATACATAAATTTAATTGTCACGAGGAAATTACCGAATATCCTGTACATATCAAATTTATGATCTAGAAGAAATGTACAAATTAACAAAGTTGACACATTTATTATCTAGGCATATTTCGAGGAGGAGAACGGTCAAGAATACATCTATAAGGAACCCAAAGTGACATCCTTGTCTGAAATATCGGAACGTTTGTTGCGTTTGTATAGTGAAAAGTTCGGATCTGAAAATGTTAAAATAATAATGGATTCCGTACCGGTCGATGTAAGCGAATTAGATCCCAAGGTGGCGTACATTCAAGTAACTCATGTCACACCGTACTTTGAGAAGATCGAGTTGGAAATACGGCAGACCGAGTTCGAGCAGAATCACAACGTATCCTGCTTCATGTTCGAGACGCCGTTCACTAAGGAAGGCAAAGCGAGAGGCAGTCCGGAGGATCAATGGAAACGCAGGACTATTCTCACAAGTACGATGAACCGTCATATTCTAATAATTCAAATTATTTAGTCGATTATCTGAGAGATATTGCTTTTTTAATAAAAAAAGAGCACGAAGATTTATGTACGAAGATTTATTAAATTAATATAAATTTATTTTAATTAATTAATTATTATATAAACTCAAACTAAATTAAATTTTATAATTAAAAAAACTAGCTATCTTAAAAATTGACTAAAATATATTCAATAATAAAATAAAATATTTTATAATTTCTAATAAAATATTTATAATAATTATTACCTTAACTATCATATTTTATTCGCTCTTTTTAATTCAAGAAAATTTATTATAACAAATATTTAGTTTAATAACCGCTGATACAAAAGGTGCAACAATTTAATTTTTGCTTGTCCTCGCAGCGCAATATGCTTTTCCGTATGTGAAGAAACGCATCGGGATTGCCGAGAAACGGATAGTGGAGCTCAGCCCTATCGAGGTTGCCTTGGATGAAATGAGGCAACGCGTTCAGGAATTGGAGGATGTGGCTTTGATCGGACCGACGGACGTGAAGAAGTTGCAATTACGTCTCCAGGGTAGCATTTGCGTAACAGTGAACGCTGGTCCCTTAGCCTATGCTTCCGCGTTTCTGGATCCCGCGCTCTCTCCACAATATTCCGATGACAAAGTAGAAGAGTTGAAGGATGTCTTTAGGTATGTTTTGTAATTTTGTAATTAATTAATCGCTTTACACTGAGAAAAAAATCGATTGTACGAACTAAATTTGTATAGTTGTTTGATCCAATGTTGGTTGATTCAACAATTCTTTAGTTGCACAAAGAAAGATATAGAGTTCATTCATGTCAACCATCACACTTTTTTAATCAAGAATTAACTAAACCAACTCAATTGAATTATTTTGTTTGAAATACTGATAGCATTTATTTCTGTTTGCATGCTGTTTAATTATCCAAGTAATATATTTGTTCAAATTCCAAGTATCAAATTGATACTTGGAATACTACTAAACGATGTTGATGGGATTATGGGAATAATAAATAGTGTGTATTTTTAATCAAACGGTTAAGTTTAAATACGATAAATTTTTGTTGCAACAAAATAGTTTAGTTAAAAAATAGGATTTTGTTTATAATAGTTATAAACTATTTTGTATCATCGTAGTAACGTTTAGTTGAACGTATCGGGGACTAAATATTTCGTTAAGATGAAACAAATTTTGCGTTTTTTAACAAATTTTTTTTCTCAGTGCGTGTAATCTTCATGGTATTGCAGTCTTATTTACAAAGCATTTCTCTTGCAATTTCAGGGAATTTGTCAAGATATGTTACACAGCATTACAAATTAATAGCAAACTAATCACGCCGGACCAACATGAGTATCAAGAAGTGTTACGTGAGAACTATCAGAAACTGTGCCAGAGCTTGTCGTCCTTGTTTGGGGAGCCAATATGGCCGGACGAGCAAGTAGGAAGCTTCAAGCGCAATAGCGCTGCTCTGTTCAGCGCTATCAGCGGTGCTAACAATCACACCAGTACAGCCTAAGTCAATAATCTTAGTATGTTCATCCAATAGACCTCAGATTTATTTACTCTTTAGCATAATATGTCTAAGGCAGGGTCAACAAAACTTCTTATGGAAGAATTTGTACCAGTGTTAGTAACGTTATTTGGAAGTGCCTTCCAAAGAAAATATAAACTTAATAGCAAAAAAAAACACCATTGGCATTAATACACCACGGTATATATACATAGTACATTCTGTGTTAATATTAATAAATTTTTCATCAATTTGATTGTTGCGCTTGAATTCAGTACATTTGATAACCATGATCATTGCAACGATAGCGTAAACGTTTATGGCCAGATGGTCATAAGTGCGCAACAAAAACTCAGCAAATTGTGCTACAGAAATCTCCAATATAAGAAGTTATTCAGAGAGTTATACAGAGACAAACATGATTATATTAGAATTAGAAAACTTAACCACGTCTGAGACACATATCAGACGTGTACATTAAACTGTCAGAATCATTGAAATGCCTATATTTATCGCTCTTGTTAAGCACGTTTCATCTACTTCTCTTGCTGATTACAGAAAATATTTAGGCTTAGATTTACTTTTAAAAATGTATGTTTATATACATATAAGTGTTAGAATTTTTTTTCATGCAACGCCATATTAATTTTTTGATTATTTACATTACTGAAAAATAGACTTCTGGATGATTACTAACGCTGCTACACATTTTAATCATGGGAGTTCGACTACCCTGGTCTAAGGTTCTTCCGAGATATTTATATCGAAAATATTGACGGTTTGTATTTCTATTCTTCTTATTGACGTGTCATTTACGAATTTATGATCAAGTGTGTGTATCAATTTTGTAACTTTTGCACTGGCCTAACGGAGATTTTCTGATCACTGCCAGATCTTTTAGACGAGCGTTTACGAATATTCTAGGAAAGTCGACATTATAAGGAAGAAATACGTAAGAATAAATTATAGCTGATCTATAATTGTTAAAAAATTTGGTAGACATGCAATGTCTTGAAAAAAACCATATCTAAAAAAATCATCTCATCAACTGAGACAAGTCCCGAATGTCACAATACTAAAATATCATAATACTGAAATTACTCAAATTGAGACAATGTCTCAATTTTGAAATGACATAATACTGAGATCAAAGAACTGAGATTATAATTACAGTCCCGAGTTATAATTGTAAAAACTAATGTATCCAAATAATATTCTAAAATATAAATTTTTTGAAGTATTTTTAAAATTGCACAGATAAATCGTCACGTCATTTTGATGTACATACATTTATATGAAGAATCCTCTTGCAGAAAGAATAACAAACGGAATAACATTTGGATTGTGTATGTCGTATATTAAAAGATATATTTTCTATATATTCTTTATATTGAAATAATATAAGATGTATATACAATATATCTTATAAAAAATACATAATCTATATATCGTTTCTTTTTCTATAAGAAGTTTCTTTGTATATGTCGAAAGATAGTGATCTACTTGTGCAATTTCAAAAATGTTTCAAGATATTTATATTTTAGGATATTTTGATTGATACATTAATTTTTACAGTTATAATTTTTTGGGACATCGTATTAGTTCTTTGATTTCGGTGATATTTCGAGGAACTGTCTCAGTTCTTATACAGTTTACAATATTCCGACGTTTTGGGATATTGTTCCAAACATTTTTTAAATTTCGGTTTTTTTTTCGGGACATTGCATGCCCACCAAAAATTTCGACAAAGCCATTGAAAACTGCTTTTACGTATTAAGCCTGTAATGTAAATGTAGTTTGATAAGTTGCAATTTAACGAATAAGATATAAGTTAGTCCATATACCAGGGCATTTATGTAGTATATCTAATGTCGAGTAAAAAAATGTACTGGTACACCTCAGTTCTTTCACTATGAATAATGCTAGTCCATAAGGCATTTATATTTGATGTCCATATATAATCAATTTTATAGATTTTTGTCTATATCCTTTTATCAATTAGGAAAAAGATAACTATATAATCTAGTTAGTTAACAAAAATGATTTAATAAAATAACAGAAAATTATTCGCTTGTAATATTTGAAGAACTGACACAATAAGATTAATATCTTACCGTGTTTTTATTACATTTTTCTTGTCACATCCTTTTAAATATAATGTTATTTAATATCTACAAAAAGACAGATGTTAATTGCTGAATGCGATTTACTTGATCACTGACATACTAAATTTACGCTTTATCTGTAAGCACTGAATGTACGAATAAACTTTTATCCAATGCGCATTACAGTATGTGTAAATGATTTATCAAATATGTATTTTGACACTTTATGTAAAAATTGATATTTGTACATATATATTATTGTTTAATTTCTTGCGTGCGTATAAGTGCTGTGTAGTCGGCTGTTTTAGAAATATCGAAGGGAAAGTATTAGGTCCTTTAACGCTATATAGATTTTCGACTATTTTATTCAGCAATTAGGTATGTGAACTTACGTATGCGCTCGCACACTATTACGTAGTACAAAGATAAACTCGTACAGATTGAGTAATTTCTATGCCAATTATTGGAATTTATAGAGAATTAAATGAAAGTTTGTTTATATTTTAAAGAGGAAGGAGAAAGAAATCGTAGCATTAAATGGTTACGATTTATCGATGGGAAACAAGTCCGACCACTTTGATACCTTGCGAATACGCACAAAAGTGATGTTACATATTGATAATTATGATAATTATTTGTGAAAGGATGACAAAATTTTATAAATCGAGAGAGAGAGAGAGAGAGAGA